ATCATCTGCACTACAACAATGCCTGGTGCTATTTTTCTAATAAATGAGCTTTTCCAAATCTGAGTTACCCTCTACCAATAAACAAAGGAGAGATATTTTCAAGGAATCCACATCAAGGAAATAAAGGAACTCCTGCATTATACTAACATCTACTGGAGAACAGAAATCCAATGCAAGAACAAGAAGCATCAAACAATGACAAAATCTCTGGAGAGAGGATTCAGTGGGCATGTTGATGCCACGTAGCTTAGAGTCTGCACCAGCATTTCTATGACAAAAATCTTATAATCCAAAGCTGTGGCAAATTGAATAAACAGTCAATCATTAAGTTGTTGTAATAATATAAAAATTAAATCGTGCACCTAGAAGTAATAGAGTTATGCCACCAGCAATGTTAGTCAGTTTGGAATTCACAAAGGACTCCCTACATCACACTCATTTTCTGCCCTTCTCTGAATTTCAGTATTTTTCATTGTGGTGGTGGTATTCTTATTATTGCTTTTTAGGAAGAATAATTCAAGAGTCTTAGAATCATAAATATCAGAGCTTAAAAGATCCTGAAAATAATCTAGTCTATAGTCCTAATTCTAGGAAACAAAACCAAACCAAAAAGACCCCAAAACAAAACCTGTATCTTAGAAAAGTTATAAATGGCAAGGCACAAGACTATGGAAATAATGACTTAATTTCACCCCCTCTCAAATCCCATTAGAGCTTTCTTTATTTATAATTTACGTACAACTGCCTTTTAGTAGAAAATATAAGAGTATGAAATATACTAGGCATTTGTTCTTTATAGCGTCAGCTTATGTTAAGTAAAATATTACAGAAATGCAAAGCTATATTTTTTTCAAAGATACAGGTAACATCATTTAGGTATTAGTAGACAACACAATTGCATCTTGGAGCTGAAAGGGATTTTATATATTTTGGGGTACAACCACTTTTACATATGAAGAGACCAAAGACTCCAGAGATTGGGATGTCTAAGGTCAGCCAGTTAGAGGGACAGAGCCAGCATTTTCTAACTTTTTGCTCAAGGGCCATTCCATTATTTCAAGTTGATGTTTCTATATTATAGTCTGGTACAATAACTGATATTCTACTTTATACAAATCTTTGGTGCTATACAATATCAATTCATACCCTCTTGGTCTCTAAGACTGTGACTATGGTCTTCCTGTTTTCTTTCTTTCTTTCTTTCTCTCTTTCTCTCTTTTCAGTCTCTTTCCATAGTGTCAAGGTAAAATTGTCTCCAACAGACCTGGCCCTTTATGGTAAAAGATGAATTAAGTACTGAGAAACCAGTAATGCAGAGGGCACAGGCACCCTTGTGACAAATGACCAGGTGAAAATCACTCTTATTCACTCCTGCTTGTTGCCTCTGGTCGTTTGTCAGACCCTTTTGTCCAGGATGCCCAGACAGAAGACTGGCTCATCCATCTGAAGGCTGAAATCCTTACACTAAAGGCTTCTTGAATCACATCTTTTGGTGAAACAGTGTTAGCTTCCTCCTCAACCTGTAAGACTTCAATTAAGCCACATACCTCTGTGGGCCTCAATTTGCTCTTTGACAAAACAGCAGTGTTCTCTCCAGCCTTAAAATGCTATGTTCTAGGATATAAAGGATAGCTACTTTCAAAAAGGGAGAGGGAGAGTAAACCCAGGTGGCTTCCTAATATACTGCCTATGAATCCTGATCCTTCTCCCTCTGTCTCTGCTCAGCCAAACCAGTCAGCCTGCGGGGGCAGAGTCACATTTTCAAGTGGGTGGAAGAATGTTTGAGTGGAAAGAATTGCATGATCCCCCTGAACAACTGGAGGGGCCAGGGAGAGATGGGCAGAAGACAGAAAAGGCAGAGATGCTCACGAACAAAGCTGGGAATGTGGGAGGAAGGGCTGACTCATGCCTCAAATGAAAAAACTCTTTTTTTTTTTTTTTTTTTTTTGGAATTCGAGTCTCACTCTGTAGCCCAGGCTGGAGTGCAGTGGCACACACTCACCACCACCCCAGTGTCGACCTGCTGGACTCCAGCGATCCTTCCGCCTCAGCCTTCCAAGTAGCTGGAACTACAGGCACACGCTACCACACCCAGCTAATTTTTGATTTACTATAGAGATGAGGTTTTGCCAAATTGCTGGGGCTGGTCTCAAACCTGCAGGCTCAGACAATCCACTCACCTTGGCCTCCCAAAGTGCTGGGATTACAGGTTGAGCCACCAAACCCAGCCAAAAACACTCTTAAGGCACAGGCTCAATCCTAGATGTTATCCTTCCAGGACAGATGTTAGGGAAGTCATATCAATGCTAGCTGCTAGAAATGCTATCAATCAATACTTTACTGCTGCGTAGCACTGATTTGGGGTAGTTCTGTAACAGACTTGCTGCAGCCAGCCTAATGGAAGGAACACACAGCAGAACTAGAAACGTTCCTCCTGTGTGTTGTCCTGGAGGACTTGTCCAAATTATGATCTCTGCCTGCATAGTATGAGGCACACACATAACTAAGAAACTACCATCTGGAGCTAGATTTATAAACTTTACTTCCTGGCTGTGACCAAGCTCAACCAGACATTGCTTACCTCATCCTATTGCTTATATCTCAGCACGGCACAACTCGAGGGGGCACCCTTGGCATCTGTGGTCACCGTAAATCAATCTGCCTCTGTCTCTCTCTGTGTGCATCTGTCTGCCTGTCTCTCTCTCTCTCTTTCTCTCATAGCTGACCATGGCTCACCACAGTCTCGATCTCCTGGGCTCAGGCAATCCTTCTGCCTCAACCTTCTGAGTAATTGGGAAAACAGGTGCGTACCACCACACCTGGTTAAACTTTGTAGAGACAAAGTCTTGCTATGTTGCAAGACTGATCTTGAACTCCTGGGCTCAAGCAATCCTCCCACCTCAGCCTCCCAAAGTGCTGGGATTACAGGCAAGAGCCACCATGCCCAGTCTGTGTATTTATTATGAGGATTTTCTGTAAGGTGATTGTACTAGTTTTAAAGAAATGACAGTCAGAGGATCATGCGAACTAGTGGCAGGACTGTTCACTCCAAATCCACATGAAAGCACATTATTACACACAGAACAACACTAAATTTATGCTTCTATTACCTATGCTCATATTACCTAAAATCTATCCCAGTGGTGATGTCACCATAGCTCTACTCAGGGTCTCCAGATCTTGCACAATTGTTATCAAGATGACAGACACATTTTTAAAAGGTAAAAATTTAGCCGGGCGTGGTAGCGCACACCTGTAGTTCCAGCCACTCAGAAGGCTGAGGCAGAAGGATTGCCGGAGCCCAGCAGGTCGAGGCTGCGGTGGCCGCTCCCGGTCTGGGCCAGAGTGGGCGACACTCCAGTCTGGGCGACAGAGTGAGACTCCAACTCAAAAAAAAAAAAAGGTAAAAATACCAGTAAGATGGGACCCCATAAGTAACCAAAGTCCATGTCCCAGCAGCGGTGACCCACAGAAATTCTATTGTTTGTCTGGAAAAATCTCAAGAATGTAAAAACCTCCCTCCCAGGCTTACTGGGGGTTTACAGAGAGCTCTGGCAAGCCTCAGAGTCAAGAATAGCGTTTCTGGGGGGTGTCAGCATTAGCAAAAAGGGGAAGACTCAATCCAGAATCCAAAATTCCGCCAAAGGCCATGTTCACACACCACAGCACAAATCTGGAGCACTTCAGAAAGAAGGAGGAAGAACTAGATCACCCAGCAAGGACAAGAAATGAATTCCCATCTGTGCCTTGTCTAAATAGGTCACACTGAGTGACTCCTTGAGTGATAAAACATTAACAATTTCTTCTCAGTTTCAAAACTGGACTGTATTTTTGATGTTCTCTTTTTTTAAAGGCAGTATACTTTACATAGAGTACATTTCACTCTTTCAGTGCACAATTCTGTGGGTTGGAAAAACTCATGCAATCATGTAACTACCAGCCCCATCAAGAAACAAAAGTTTCATCATCTCCCAAATTCTCTCATGCCCCTGTACAGTCAAGCCTTGCCCTTAGCCCCTGATAACCACTGATTTGATAAAACCAGTCTATACTGTTAGTACACGTTTCCACACTGGTTAGACCGCCCCTTAAACATTTACCACATTTCATTGATTCTAAGACACTCACTTCAGATTTGAACACTCTGAAATGGTACTGTGTTTTATAATCAATGGCATTTTACATCATAATTGGTAACAATTTTTGCTATTAGAGATATAAAAAAATAACACCATGTCCTATAATCTATGGTGCTTTAAAAAAAATCAGTGAAGTAGAGTCTAAGTCATTTATCTCATAGCATTTACTAAATACTTACTATGTGCTAAGCATCCTTCCAGTCACTGGAAAGACAAAAATGAGCAATATGGTTCTCAAGGAACTATCACTTGAGAGGAGGAGACAGATAAACAATTATAACGTGATAATGTCTACAGCAGAGGGTCATCCACATACTAGGACTAAGTACAATTATCTCTAGATTAGCCATTCTTCCTCTTTCAGGACCATTTCTCCCCAAATCACAGCCATCCATGCATACAGGAAATAAGGATGAAGCAGCTGCCATTCAGTTTCACTACACTCATTCCAAGAATGAGTTATTGCCATACCATCTGACATATTGCCTAGGAAGAATCCAATTATTTTTTCCGTAATACTATGCTGCTGTAATAAAGAAGTCTCATTTTAGTGTTCAACAGCTGCAAGGCTTTTATAATAATATTGAAGAGAAGTCACTGAAAATAACTGCTCAATCTGTGACAGGTAGATGTACCAAATCCTTCATAGGCTTCAAGATCCCCAAATTCTTCCCTGGACAACTTTTTATTATTTTTTTTATTTTAAAGATGTGAGGTACAATTCAGAGTTAGGTATACAGATGTTCATGATCCAGGTACCCTTGTTGATGAGGTGCCCCCCCCCCCCCCAAGACAACTTGTGGCCCCCCACCAAGACAACTTTTAAAGAGAAATGTAGAAAAGATAAGTTGATGCCCTTACCTGGTTCTTGAAAGTGTTCTTCATTTGACAGAGTTCTAGACAAGATAAGTATCAATGCTTCTTTAAATTGGTCAAAATGTACCTAAAAAAGAATTAAAAACAGGTTTAAAATCATTTCTGTTGTCCTAAGAATGGACCAGAACCATTCAATCCCATCCTGATAGCCTTGAAGTGAATCAGAACTCACTTTGTTCCCTTTTTCCTTCATTTCGCTAAATCCCCGAAGGGAAAATGCACTGATCATTTTTGACACCCAGTGCCATATATAATAACATCAACATCAATATTTATCCCATGTCCAGGGTAAAAGCTATATAACAAATTCTTTTTATACACTCAGAAAAAGATACGCTTTAAACTCTTGACTCCTTGTATTTTTCTGAACAAGATAAGAAGAGAAAGAGAAAGAAGTTAGGTTAGATAGAAAAAACTTCTCCAGGGTTTGGTGGCTCAGCCTGTAATCCTAGCACTTTAGGAGGCCAAGGTGAGAGGATTGCCTGAGCCCGCTGGTTTGAGACCAACCTGGGCAACTTGGCTAGACCTCATCTCTACAATAAATCAAAAATTAGCCAGGCGTGGTAGCACGTACTTGTAGTTCTGGCTACTTGAAAGCCCGAAGCAGAAGGATCGCTGGAGCCCAGCAGATCGATGCTGGAGTAGCTGTGAGCATGTCACAGCACTCCAGCCTGGGGGACAGAATGAGATTACAACTCAAAAAAAGAAAAGAAAAAAAGAAAAAACGTCCCTAGTAAATGATCCATAGTAAAGGTGTCCCTCAGCTGCTTTTCTCTCTTAAGATGTTCTAGAAGGGATTAAGCTGTCATTTGAGGATGACTCAAATATATTCTTGCCTGAGGCAAATATATAATATTTATCTCCCAAGGCTCCTATGATTCCATAAACAAGCAAAAATCAATAACAAACACAGATAAAAGAATCTTGAGTAGCATTTTCCCGAACTCCTAAAAATATAGCTATCTTGACTGAACTAAGAAAGAACCTGAGTGTCATTTCAGCAAATAGTCACACCTGGGATACTGGCAGGCCGCAGTTGACTCACGCCTGAAACCCCAGCACTTTGGGAGGCTGAGGCAAGAGGATTGCTTGAGGCCAGGAATTCAAGACCAGCTTGGGCAACATGGCAAGACCTCATCTTTACAAAACAAAATAAAAATTAGCCAGATATGGTGGCACATGCCTATAGACCCAGCTACTTCAGAGGCTGAGGTGGAAGGATCACCTGAGCCCAGGAAATAGAGGCTGTGGTGAGCTGTGATCATGCCATTGCACTCCAGCCTGGGGAACAGAGGAAGATCCTGACTCAAAAAAATAAAAATAAAATAAAAATAAAAATGCAAATAAAAGAGAATTTTGATATTACTTTGGTTAAAATGGCAAAAGTTTTCTTTATGGCCAAGGATATTCTTCTGTGACTTAAATGTATATGACCTCCCATGGGACAGGAGGGAGAGATGTATTTCTCCTCATCACAATTCTAGTTTGATTACGTGGCATCTATTGACACAGAACCCCACATGCACATACAAAGTTTGTAAATTTGTAATCTGTGCTGCCATAGTTCTCTTTGGATGCCATTACAAAACACTGCCTCAAGGTTTAGATATAGGTGACAGTTAAAAGACATTTCCAGGCCAGAAGCGGTGACACAAGTCAGTAATCCCAGTACTTTGGGAGGCCAAGGTGAGAGGATTGCCTGAGCTCAGGGGTTCGAGACCAGCCTGGGTAAATTGGTGAGACCCTGTCTCTACAATAAATAAATAGCCGGGCTCGGTGTCTCAGCCTGTAATCCCACGTCTTTGGGAGGCTAAAGTGAGTGGATTGCCTGAGCCCACAGGTTTGAGACCCGCCTGGGCAGGCGAGACCTCATCTCTACAATAAATAAAAAAATTAGCTACTAATTTTGGAAGGCTGCTACTACTTGGAAGGCTGAGGCGGAAGGATCGCCGGAGCCCAGCAGGTTGAGGCTGCGGTGGCCGGGAGCGGCCACTGCACTCGAGTCTGGGTGAAAGAGTGAGACTTCAACTCAAAAAATAAAAACACAACAACAACAAAAAAACCCAATAAATAAATAAATAAGTAGCCGGGCATGGTACTGTATGCCTGTAGTTCCAGCTACTTGGAAGGCTGAGGCAGAAGGATCGCCTGAGCCCAGCAGGTCGAGGCTATGGTGGCTGTGAACATGCCACTACACTCCAGCCTGGGCAACAGAGTAAGAATCCGACTCAAAAAAAAAAAAAAGTCCAAATTAAATTGTAAAAAGCAGCAAACCTCATGAGTTGTTGAAACAATGGAAAGGAAAAATCAGAGAATGTCTTATCTATGCAAATTGAGGTAAAACAGAAGAATCCACTGACATTTATATGTCACAAAATTGTTATCGGCTTGCAGTTTGCCACACTCTCCCAAATGATTTGATTTCTCTACCATGTTAGTTTTAATTAATTGAAATTATTTTATGAAATCATATTCTTCTTTGATTGGGTTGTATATATTTAAGGTACACAGCTTGATGAATTGATATATGTATATGATGTGAAATAGTCACCACCATCAAGCTGGTTAACATACACATCACCTCACATAATGACTCTACACAGGTGGAAAGAACACTTAGAATCTACCTTCTCAGCAAATTTCAAGTAACACTGTACAGAATTTTTATTTGTTTGTTTGTTTATTTAGAGTCAGAGTCTCCCTCTGTCACCCAGGCTGGAGTGCAGTGGCACGTTCATGACCATCACAGCCTCGACTGCTGGACTCAGGTGATCCTTCTGTCTCAGCCTTCCAAGTAGCTGGAATGACAGGCGTGTGCCATCACGCCCAGCTAATTTTTTGATTTATTGCAGAGACGAGGTCTCGCCAAGTTGCCCAGGATGGTCTCGAACCCCTGGGCTCAGGCAATTCTCTTGCCTTGCCTCCCAAAATACTGGGATTACAGGCTTGAGCCACTGCGCCCAGCTGACTATGCAGACGTTAGACATCCGCATCATCCAGGGAGCCAGAGCAGAAGTCTGTCAAGGAAGGCAGGTACCTGCTAATAAGCCAGGGTGGTGCCATCAATGAAAGGGTTAAAAGACCGGAGAGTAGCCTGTGCTAATTAGGTTTCACAGCTGACCAATCACAGCAAAGCCTGGGGGAGGGAGAAGCGCCTACTTCCCACTAGTCCCAGAACCTGAGATGGGCCATCTTTCCAACTGGCCAGTCCACAGACCTCACATACCCAACAGTTCTGCCCCTCAGGTCCACTTGACAGGCTTCTGCTAATTCCCACAGAATCATTCCTTCTTCTCAGCACAGGCAGGACAGGGCTTAGGAGGACACACGGGCTCCCCAGCCAGGCCAGTCCAGTCTCTAACCCTGGCTCTCCCCCTGACTTCCTGTAATGAACTGGCTACATGATTAAACCTCTCAGAGCTTTAGTCTGCTTGTCTGTAAAATAGAGAAATCTGATGACTGGTGATTATTATTCATTCAATAAGTATTTATTGAGTAGCTGCTCTGTGCCAGGCACTGCACTAGGCCCTGGTGACACAGCAGTGAACAGGAGTAACAAAAGTCCCTGCGTCATGGAGCTCCTACTCTCAGGAGATGTTACAGTTAGACAGGTACTGTGCTAAGAGCATGGCATGTATTTTGTGTGTATTTTATGGTATTTGTAATACTACCTTCTTGTGTTAGGGAGGCAAAATGAGAATTATGTAAAGTGTCTAGAAAGTTCTAGAATGTTCTATGAGGTACCCAGCAAGCGGTAGTTACTAATACTAATAGATACAGTGTTAGAAGTGACTCTTTCTACCACTTTTACAGAGAGTCAGAGCTATTTTTCAAGCAAAGCAACTGGCCATGGGAGTGACTGTGACAGCCAAGTGGGAATGGTGAGGGTGTCAGCAGGGACGTCTGGGGCCTGCCTTCTCTCCAAAATCTGTGGAGCTGCCCAGTATCAATGAAAGTGATCCAATTTGCTGTGTTTAGGGACCTCCAAATTTGTATTTCTCCTCTCTCTTAGGGTATTAGAGGGGGTCTGAAAGACCTAAGTCTTCCCTTGCTACCATTTATAAACTGAACATTAAGAGGCTTCCATTCCAAAAGGGGAGTGTTTGTCTTAAGAATTTCAGATCCTTTACACTTGATCCTGTGGGTCTCTCCTGGGTCTTCTAAAGGTATGAGTTTTGATAGCTGCGATTGGAAAGAGGCCTCCTGAATTGGATTCTTACATAGTTCAATTCAGGAAGGATTAGCTGTGAAGATGATTCAGGGGTCTGTGTACCTCAATTGTATTCTCCATAACAAAGACACCTATAATCTCGAATTAATTCAAATTCATCTCCAAGCATCCCTTGAATATGGTAAAAACAAACACAAACTTTTGAGACAGTGTAAACTTCATTTGTAGGGAGGTTGTTTATCTCACAGCCTCAACTACGTGGAGTCCAGTAGACAACCAGGAAACCAACAAATGAGGTCAAAAGTTGAGGCAGGCATTGTAAAGCCCATGAGCTCTTCTCATAGAAAATGCCACAGGACTGTCTCAGGGTCTATTTAATCTTACTCTACCTGGTTTCTTATAAACTTCATGGTCTTATTAGAAGCAGCAAATAAAACATAAGGGCCGGCCAGACTCAGTGGCTCAGCCTGTAATCCCAGCACTTTGGGAGGCCGAGGTGAGTGGGTTGCCTGAGCCTATGGGTTCGAGACCCACCCGGGCAACTTGGCGAGACCTCGTCTCTACAATAAATAAAAAATTAGCCAGGCGTGGTAGTGTGCGCCTATAGTTCCAGCTACTTGGAAGCTTGAGGTAGAAGGATCGCTGGGGTCCAGCAGGTCGAGGCTCCTGGCCACTGCACTCCAGGTTGGGCGACAGAGTGAGACTCCAACTCAAAAAAACAAAACAAAACAAACAAAAAACATAGGGGCCCTCTAAGATAAGTACAAGAAATAACAATCAACATGTTGAGACTGAGGAAAGACATTATTCATTATCCACCTCCACACAAAAATATAGGATTTTTTATACTTTAAAAAACTAACTTAGAACCCCACTTAAAAACCTGTGTAAACTAT